GTACAAACAATTAGGTTACAGTGTTTGCATTTGTTAGGGAGAGCCCCTGTTGTAGCTGTGTCCTGCACCCAGGAGATGTGCCACGTACCCTTACATTCTGCCCATTACATGGAAGCACAGCGAAAAGAAATCTTGACCCTCAGATTGTGGTTTTCCAAATGTTCTTGACCACAAGTCATGATAAGAAATCCATCTGATATCACAATCCATTATACACATACACACACACGGAAAGGTTATGAAACAACAAATGTTAAATGCAATGTACTCTGAAATATTATCCTTTTTAAAATTTTATGTTATTTAAAAAACGGTGATAATCTCAGCAGTGGGTCACAATTCACAGTTTGAAAAACACCCCCTGGAGAAAGGAAGGTTCATGGAAGACTTCAAGAGTATGGCTTGCAAATCCCTTCACCTTCTCTTTTCTTTTGTATTTTTAGACATTGCAAAACAGAAGAAAGTCCAACCCATTTTCTCGGAAACAACACAATATGTGCGTGCATAGTTCACGTGGTGTGTTGCTTGACAGTAAGTGAGAGGGTTTCTTGTGTGTTTGGTTACTGTACCCGATTAGGCTTGTTGACAAGTAGGATTTCAAAACGCTTGGGCAGGGCCCTGGTACCTTTCAGAAAGCCGGATCATATGTCTCCAATGTCTCTTCAATGAGAAAAATCAATAAGCAACTTCTTTCACATAAAGGGCCCCATCGCACATCATAACCCAGAAGAGAGCAGGCATGCATTCAGCCTCAGGACTGCTGCCGAAATGGGAACTCAATGCCTAATGCCTTTCAATCATGCACACATTTGAAACTCACACCACCATCATCCCCACCACCTCCGCCCTGGAGGACAGAGTCTGCTCCCCATCCAGCTCTGTGTGCTTCTGTGTCCAACACAAATCCTGAAGCTAGAAAGGAACACAGAGGTCATCTGGTCTACCTCTCTCTTTCCAAAGAGGATAGCCAACTAAAATTTTTGGTGCACAGTTGAGCTACTTCCCACTGTACCACAAGTATCTGTGTTCCACGGGGCCTTCTTTGAGATACTGTATGAGTTTAGATGTTTCTGCCATCACAGATTTGAGTTGTTTCTACACCTTAGAATGTTGTCTTTTCTTGTCCACACAAATTCCACCTATCCTTCCAGATTACATCCCAGCCCTCTCAGAAGACTTCCCAAACTCCACAACCACTGTCCATCCTTTCCCCCTCTGAAATGAGGTTAAACTCACTGAATTCATGCAACCATTTGCATCTTAGACGCTGTTTAACAGGAAGTTAAATGCATTTATTGGCTGGCTTTGTGATGTTTAAAAGCAGAGGGTAAGAAACGTTAGGATTTAATCTTTTTTTTTTTAGAGACAGAGTCTCAATTTGTCACCCTTGATAGAGTGTTGTGATGTCACAGCTCACAGCAACCTCCAATTCTTGGGCTTAGTTGATTCTCTTGCCTCAGCCTCCCAAGTAGCTGGGACTACAGGTGCCAGCCACAACGCCTGGCTATATTTTTTGTTGCAGTTTGGCCAGGGCCAGGGTTGAACCCACCACCCTCAGCATATGGGGCCTGCACCCTACTCACTGAGCCACAGGCACCACCCCAGGATTTAATCTTAAATGAAATTTTCCTACATGGTATGTATCAAAGAGTACATAGAAAGGCTTAGCAGTTTATCATGAAGATATTTAAATCATGTCTTCATTAAAGAAGTGAGTAGCAGCACTCTGTTCATTTCCTCATACTTGGCATGAGAGTGGTGGACACCAGCGCTGCTGATTTCTCTGATACACTATCATTTGGGAGATGCCCGTGTTAGGCAACTGAATTCTTGCAGTCATTAGATAAAGCAACTGGGAGCTTTTTATTTAGGAAAATACTGGCTATGGCTCTGATGGCAGGTGCTCTCATGAAAGCTCCCAGGCACAGTCAAAATCTACAGAACTGTACTGGCTGTTGCCTTACAAGACTCTCTCTCCCTGGGAGAATGTCCTATAACATATCTCTACCTGCAAGATGTTGGTGCTATATTATAGGACGCTGTCTCTTCTCTCTCTGTCTCTCCACACATACACACTCCTCTCTTATTCATCCCTACCTTTAGTTACTTATTGCCATAATAGGGTCACTGAACTTTATAACTTGGGAAGAACTTAAAGATGATCTATTCCATGTCAGATGAGGAAATCGAACCAAGAAAAGGTGAACTAATGTGCTTCACCTCATCCTTGTAGAAAATGAAAGAGCTGGGGGGCAAAACTCAAATATTCTGTTACCCAGAGAAATCAGGAGCTAGAAGATGTAAAAACCTCACACCACCTGGATTTTCAGTTTCATTTCCCCTATCCCTGAACTTCCTATCTCCCCAGATCCCTCTGTCTGGCCGCTGAGGAACTTCCCCAGGTGCCAGACACCAAACTGTCTTCCTTCCATTAACCAATTCCTCAAAGTCGTCTCCTCTCCATCCCACCACTTCTCTTACCCTACTTTGCAATTGCATTATTTATTCCTGTTTTTCTTTTGCCTGACACCGCAGCTGCCAAAACCACACAGCTCTTTTACTTTAAACCCTTCCAGACAAAATTACCCACAAAACTAAAGCTAGTGACCATGGCTGTCTCTCAGACAGTCCTGTTCTCTCCAACCAGGACTGCACAAACCTGTTCTATCTCATGTGTACTAGAAATAACATGATGAAAAAAAAAAGTTTTCTCTGTAAGCAAGCAGGTAATTTCTTAAGACAAATAGCTGAGCAAATGGTGATGCCTCCAAGTTATGCCAGGAAAGTGGCACAGTTCCCAGACACTACTAGAAACACCAAACCTCACTCTTTAGCATAAAACACCACTATCCTCTCTATCCTTTCAAGAGTAGAAATACTGATTGATCTGACCCCTTCCCTTCTTGTCCTTGCCACTGTCTTGTCAAAGTGTTAAACCAATGAGGTGGTCGCAGCAGAAGACAGGACAAAAAGAAGACCAGTAAAAAGTCCCAATAAATCAAAATTAGCTGCAGATTGATGTGTTGAACGCACGGATGCTGGAGGTGAACTGCACAGAGAGTCTTGGGTAAGCGCTGTGTGACTGTGGGTGTGTAGCGTAGACGCTGCTAAGTTTCTTTGCCTGGTAAGCAGGATAACAGCAGTTCCTCCTTCACAGGATTGCCAGGAGGATCAAATAGGTTCACATTTGCAAAAACACTTGGGACAATGCTTTGCATATGTTAAGCACTACACAGATATTTGTTAAATAAACCTTCAGTTTGAAAATTTTTAGGTATCTGCTGACCTCCAGATCCTACCAGCAGTTCCAAGATCTAGAGGCAATGTGATGGTTGCATATCACACCACACATCCTCTGCATCCTCTAATATATCCGCTAATAATCCCTAAGAATTGTTGGGCAACATTCATTCCATATCCCCTTCTTCCTGGGACTTGACCGGAATATACTCCTGAACTTCTCTCAAACAGGGCCCATAGCTTTAGCCACACATGGTGAGAAATGGCCTCTCTGCTTCAGGAGACAAGAGCTGGAGTGCCATATAAGTTCTTGTTTGCCCACACATGAATTCTACCTGTAACCCAGGACTGGACCTGGGGGAAAATACCACCTACCATAGGAGGGGAAAAGCAAAGGGAAAATCAACCATATCATTTGTGTCTTCTTGGTACAGGGTCATGATGCTAAATAGAAATCTTCTGAGTGTCCAAACTCGTGCTAAAGCCTCTTCTCCCTTTCTTTCCTTATTTTACTCTAATCAGGCTCTCAGTTATACCAGACTTCAAGAGTCAGCCAAAAACCACTTTGGTAAGGGTAGTGGGACCTGGTCTCACTCCACCTGTCAGGAGCATTTACCTGCCAGCACTCCCTCCCTTTGACCGCTCTCTTCTCTAGGTTCCCGGGCCAGCACAGCCTCCTAGCTTTTCTGGCTACTCCCTCTGGGGCTCCTTTCCTGGCTGCTCCCTGACTTCCTCCTTCCCCACTGCAGTGCCCTGAGGCTCACTGCTCCTTTCTCTTCTCATTTACATCCATATTTGCTTTCAGGGCAAATGCTGCAGGCTGCACAGCAAGCCTCTGCAGTCTCATGACTTACAATACCATCCCTTCCCCGAGGTGACTCTCAAATCCCTATCTCCAGCCCACACCTAAGTCCTGAATTCTTAACTCAAACATCCACCTGCCTACTTAACAGAGTAAGCACTCCAGCTGGATATCTCACAGGAGCCTAAATTGAGCTGGTCCCACTCGTGACCTTCTCCCCAAACCTTCTCCTCTTTCATCTTCCCCACCTCTCCCTGCCCCTACAATATACCCATCAGCAAAACCTTTCAAAAATATCCAGAATCAAATGTCACCTTCAGCTGCCCTCTGGCTACTATTATCTCTCCTGAGTCCTGAGATACCTTCTGAAATAATTTTACTACTTTGCCATTCCCTCCCTCCAGCAAAGAGCAGCCAGAAAGAGATTGTTAAGATCTAAGTCTGCTCATGTCACCCCCTTGTTTGAAACCTTCTCATAACTCGTCATTTCACTAGAAAAGCCAAAGTCCTTATCAGTACATGGCCTGCCCTGGCCCCTCAGCAATCTGGACTTATCTCTGCAGCTTCCAGAGGTAGCTCCCTCCCCCCAGACACCCACAGGGTTTGCTCCCCCACCCCTTCAAGTCTCTGCTCACAAGTCACCTCCTGGGTGTCCCTCACTAGACTTTTCAAAATTGTGGAATTTAAAAAGCCAACTATGCCTTCGTAGAACTCCTTATCTCCTTTCCCTGATTCTTCCACAGAAGACGCATCTATTTTATAAATTTTACTAATTTTATTTATCTCCATTAGAATAGTTTCATCTTCCCCTATTAGAATCAAAGCCCCATGTGGGTGGGGGTTTATATCCGTTCTTGATCCCTGCTGTACTCCTACTGCTAGTCAGTGCCAGCACACAGCGGTGCTCCGCAAAGATTTGCTGAATGAATGGGACTAATGGTTCCCTGGGTTCTCTTACCTAGGACAGTCATCACGGTCTTCATCAGCTTCATGGGTGCCCGCCGGCGGCTGATGGACCCGCTTGTGTGTGGAGACAGGACATTGGTTTTCCTCTTGACATACATGTAGATACGCAGGTACACCACAACCATGATGAAGAAGGCCACGAGGTTGGACACGGTCCAGAAAACGAGGTAACTCCTGCTGTAAATGGGGGCCAGGGAAGAGCAGGCTGAGATGTTGCAGAGGCAATTCCAGCCCAGTGTGGGGACCGCCCCCATGAAGATGGCGATGGCCCAGATCAGCAGGATGAGCAGCGTCACCCTCTTCTTGGTCAGGTTGCTGTGGACCCGCATCCTCATGATGGACATGTGCCTCTCCACCGCAATCACCAGCAGATTGGTCAGGGAGGCGGTCAAGCTACTGTCTAGGAGTCCCTGGCGGAGAAACCAGCGGTTGACAGACAAAGTTTTGGAAACTGGGCCGGTGTGAAACATCAGGAATACATAGGCTATTCCAGCAAAGAAGTCTGCGGCAGCTAAGTTAGCCAGCAGGTAGTAGAACGGGAAATGAAACTTTCTGTTTTTGATCACTGCTGCGATGACTAGAGAATTGGAAAAAAAAATAAACAGGCAGAAAAACGTCCCAACACACAAGACAATCACGAGCTTCGTTCCTGCCCACTCATCAGCAGTGTCGGTGTTGCTCCTATTATAAAAAAAGTCCATCTGCTTGTCGTAGTGACACTCATTCATCGTGGAGAAGAACCAAACATCCTAGAGAGAATTGAAAGAAGAAACAAACATCACTCTTTGTAAGATCAGTCACTTAACCACCACTTGCTACTACCAAACCCCTTCTTCTGGCTAGCTCCGTCAATCCTTCAGGTCTCAGCGTAAATGTCCCTGTGACATTTACAGCCTCTGACCTCCTACCACACCACTGTGCGCACTTTAATCGTCTGTTTCCCAGGTAGGGTGCAAGCTCAGTGAAGGAGGGTCTTGCTCACCATGATAATAACCCCAGGATCCAGCCGCCCTGTCTGACTCATGACAGGTGCCTGCTGAATGAATGAATGAGCACGGAGGCATCCACAGGCCACAGGTCCTGCCCTGCAAATCCACTCTGCATTGGTAATAATTACAACACTGTATGTTAAGGTGCTCTCCTGGCTTCCAGTTCATTTCTTATTTATAGGATATATTCATTAATCAAGGGCAGGTTGGTGATTCTAAGTACATTCTTGCCAAGATAATGGGGGTTGGATTACTGCTCACATAACCAAATGGTTTCCCCCAAGAGATCAATTTTCCACCACTTCTGATTCTCCTTTTGCCATCTTTTGGTTTCAAGCTACAATTAGAATACTCACTTATGAAGCCCATGCTGGAGGGATGGAGAGTCTGGTGTTAACACCTCTTCCTTACTTTTTGTTCACTTCTTCTTTACAGTCTCCTAAGCCAAACTGAACCAATGTGAACTTGTTTATTGGATTTTCTAGCACTCTTCCACATGGCAGATTTGGAGTTTGGGCGGATGTCCAACCCAACGTGGGAGTTACAACATAACTACCAAGCGAGGACAAGTCCTTATGACATATGTCTGAAAGTGGACCTTATGTCTGAAACGTCATGCAGACAGGGAGGATACTAATCCTCTCACTCAAAGATCTCTTGCCCCCTAAAGTGAGGGAATCTCACCAGGGAAAAGTGAGCTGGGTGGAGACGCTAAGGATGCCCATCTATCTGCGCCCAGTGAAGAAAAACAAGTGTTCTGCCTCACAGCAGTCTGGGGCCATCCTACCAAAGGAGATGGGTTTTAGGGCCAGGTCTTCTAGGTAGAATGATTGTGGGCCCCTTAGAAAGAATGAGGCTGCACTTATTCCCTGGAGAATCAGAGATCCAGTAGGCTCAGGAGCTGAGCAGCCCACTGGTGGGAATAGCAGAGCTCTGATAGCAAAAGCTTAGTAGAAATCCCCAGCTTCTTAAAGTTCCTGCAAATTCTGAAATCCAATACTACATCCAGAAACAGGATAAGCAAACCAGATAACGATTTTAAGTAGTACAAAATAGAAATGGATCTCAGACAATCTTCTTTTTAATTTATATTTTAATGGTATAATGATACTTCTAAATGAATTAAATATTGCCTCTCTGCCCTAGCAAATGGGAGGTAAATGACATTTTATATGCTTAAAATAAATAAACTGGGAGCAGTCTCAAGAGAAAAATGGTTCCACTGCCTTTCAATTACAAAGAAAGGGACTCAATTTTAATAATGACTAAACAGAAATTATCCTCTTTGGCAGACAGTCGCCAACATTTTACTGTAAATATAAAATAACTTCAAACAAGAGGCCACTATATCATGTATCTATACAATATCATGTTTTGCCAAATTAAAATTACAAATAGTATGATAACATTAATAACTTCAGAATAGTCCATTATATGAACATACCATACTCTACTTAGCTAATCCTAAATGCTGGACATTAAGGGTCTTTCCAGAATTTCACTTTAATAAGCAAGGCTACATTCTTGTGCGTTATTCTTTACAGACTTCCCAATTATTTTTTAGGAATGGCCCATAGATTTCAAATTAAGGTTAAGGATATAAATTTATTGAAAGGTTTCTGATATATCTTCTTGTTAAGCCGTACTTGAGAGAGAGTATGTTTTAATTTCGCAAGCAGAAATTGAGAGTTAGATAGAAGGCACTAACCTAGCAAAATTCAATTTAAATATACAAAGAGAAAAATATAGCTTTTGACCACTTTGAGAGCATATAGAAACACAGGACAAAGAATCTAAGAACTACCTGCTTTGATCTAAATGTTTATGTCCCTCCAAAATTCACATTGAAAGTTAATCCCCATTGTGACGGTATTAATAGTTGAGTCTTTGGGAAATGAATGGGATTCGTGTCCATATAAAAGAGGCCTAAAGGAATTTGTGAGCCTTGTTTAGCTTTTTTAGGCCATTCTACCATGCAAGGACACAGTATTTGCCCCCTTCTGCCATGTAAGCCCTCACACAGACACCAAATCTACTGGTGCTTTGATCTTGAACTTCCCAGCCTCCAGAACTGTGAGCAGTAAATTTCTGTTATTTATAAATCACCTAGCCTGAGGCATTTTTCTTATGGCATCTAGAACCTTCTAAGACACCACATGAGAGATTTTAATAATACAATTATCTGTGCTTTCACTAATGAAAAATAATTTATATATTTTATTTTATTACATGCTCCAGATATCTAAAAGAAAGACATTTTTAACTTAAAAGTTACATTATTCTTAACAAATATATTAGAAACATCAAGATTAACATATCACAAAGATATCAGAATTAAGATGCCACAAAAAATACTGTTAAAATTTTCCCAATTTTCTTCTGAAGGGCATCTTAAAATTTTAGTTCTTAATATCTGTTTGAATTTGTAATGACATCACAAAATAAAGCCTCCATGAAGGAAGATTACTTTAAAAATCTTCAAATTCAATTTTCCCCCCGGAAAATCAAAATGGCATATTCTTAGACATGTTTTAGCAAAAACTGTCCTGAGACTGCAAAGCAGTTTCATGTTACAAAGTTAAGCTATCACAGAACAACTATGATTAGCCAGAACTTTCTCTAAGCCGCTCCCTACCCCAAGTCCAAGATTCTATTTTGGGGAGAAACAGGTAAGGAGGACAAAAATGTTTATATAGGGAATTGATTTTAAAAATACATGTAATATTATGCAGAAAATGGAAATCATGCTCCCTATAAACTTGGGACAATACACTTATAAGAAAAAGCTCATGTCATTGTTTTAATAACAAGTACAGTTGAACCTTTATAAGTTGACCACCCAAGGGACTGTAACCAACTGGTCAACATACAAAGGTGGTCAACATAAGGAACTAGGCCCGCTGTACTGATAGGTACATGTAGTACATGTCTGGTTTATGAAATTTGGGTCAACTTAAGGAAGTGGTCAATGTAGACAGGTGGTCAACTACGGAGGTTCTATTATAATTATACACACACAAATATTGATCATCATGGTCAAAAGGTATAGAAAAAAGATGATAAAAAACTCCCAAAATGTAAATAGTTCATTAACAATAGTAGAACTGTGGGTCATTTAAAAAAAAAAAAAAAAAAAAAAAAAACCTCTTTCCAGCTTTTTTTTTTTACATTGCATATTTCCTGAAATGAGTAAATAAATAAACACTATCTTATAAATTCTTAGGAGCACACATTCTAACTAATGTAATCTACCTTTATTCTACAACTAACTATAGCTCTGAAAAATCAAAATTAATGTTCTAAGGGAAAGTCTCAACGATTAGCATTCCTGAAGCTTCACATGCTGAAACCCGTCCATGTCTGGACATAGCTATTCACATAATTTTCACCAATTTGCCTACAAGACACTTCCTAATGCCATCATCTCAGAGCTCCAAAAATGAGTAACTCATAGTTTTATGAATTTGACTTAGTACTTTCGATTTTTTTTTCTTCTGCCATATGGTACCAAATTTGCTGATAGTCTCCAGTACTTATCAACTAAAAATCAGCATCTTTTCTTAGCTGAAAATCATCCAAAACTTTAGCAAGTTTATAACAAATGACTGATTTCTCAACTCTTGCCCTCCTTTTTTTTTTTTTTTTTTTGCAGTTTTTGGCCGGGGCTAGATTTGAACCTGCCACCTCTGGTATATGGGGCCAGCACCCTACTCCTTTGAGCCACAGGCACCACCCCAACGCTTGCCCTCTTTTAAGCCTTAAAACATGATTCTATGATGTTGACCACCCAAGGGACTGTTTCTCCCCCTTGATGCCCCTGTTGCACTTAAGCCATTTCACTACTTTATTTTTCTTTTCTTACAGCATTTATTTTCAGTAAATTAATAAGTTATTCCAGTCCTAGCCTAAACATCTCCCCAATCAAAGCAGCCTGGCTGCTCTGTTCTCAGAGACCCCTGTGTTAACCTCATCAGAGCCACTCAGTAGCTCATTTGTTCCCCAGTATTTTCTTTTATGCGTATGTATTTACCTAAGTCTCTCTCCCACCCCCAGACTGTTCTACTCTGGCAGAGCTGGGACTCACCTATTATGCTCCCTTCTATAACATCAGCATTTATATAGTGAACTGATCTCTGCCCTACACTACCTCTTCTCCTCTAAAATGAAAAAGTTCAGCTAAATGCCTCTGGTGACTTACACATGTCAGCCACTAAGTATGACAACTAGAGAGCTCTGTCACTTATTAACTATGTGTTCTGTGGTAGGTTACATATTATTTCCACCTTATCATTACTATATCTAATAACTAACATTTGCATGCTTACTCTGTGCCAGGTGCTGTGTTAAACATCTTATGTGGATTATTTCACTTAATTCTCCCAACAGTGATATAGATACTATCATTATACCCATTTTGCAGATGAGAAAACTGAAGCCCTCTGGCCTGAGGACACACAGCTAGGAAGTGGGAGCTCCTGGACTCTGTTTAGGCAGCCTCACTTCATAGCTCAAATGGTTACCTGAAATGTTATGTTTTCTCTCCATGGGCACATAAAGCACCAGCCAGAACCAAGAGCTATAGTTATATTTACAACAACTATAGAATTGCCAAAATAGAATGGGCTGATCAAATCACATTCAGTCTGAACCATACTATAAAACACTGGGGGCGTTCTAAATAACCTTTGGTCTTTTCTTTTTTTTTCTGAGAAGGGTAGAAAAGAGACTTCGTTTCTGGAAATAAGTTTTCCACGTTTATG